TTAGGTACTTAAAAATTATTATGGGACCAGTTGTAACAATTTAAGCATAAATTGGTTACTTATTGTTGCTTGTACTTAGGAATGGGATCAAACAACGAAAGAATTGTTGGCAAGATGGTGTTTTGGGTACAAATTGCCCGATCCTTCCAAATAAGAACTACACATACAAGTTCCAAATGAAGGATCAAATCGGAAGCTACTCTTACTTCCCCTCGACACTTATGCACAGAGCTGCCGGAGGTTTTGGAGCACTTAACATTTATGCTCGAAAAGTAATTCCCGTTCCGTATGCTCCGCCTGCAGCAGATTATAGCCTGCTTGTGGGTGATTGGCGTAAGACCAGTCACAAGGTCAGAATTCTTTTCACCATTTAACATTTTCTGCGTTTATTGTGTGTGTGCTGATGTAATTCGTGTGCATATCTCAAATAACTATGTTTATGAGTGCAGAGATTGCAGCAAATACTTGATTCTGGAAAGACGACATTGCCTTTCCCCGATGCACTCCTTATAAACGGCCAACGCAAACCTTCATTCACTGGTGCCCAAGGTCATATATATATTAATTACTTGCCTTTAAGAGCTTCTATATTTTCTTTTTCTTTACAAAATAATTCGGATAATGCGAAAAAATGAAAATTAAAATAGAATGATCAGTTTCATTGGTTAAAAATAAAAAATAAAAAATCCTGCTTTGGAATTTTCAGGGACTACAATCATGCTCAGGGTCACGAACATCGGTTTATCCACATCTATCAATTTCAGAATTCAAAACCACCCAATGAAGCTCGTCGAGGTCGAAGGGTCCCACGTGCTCCAAAATATCTACGATTCTCTCGACATTCATGTTGGCCAATCAGCCACAGTCCTTGTCACCTTGGATAAACCCCCAAAGGATTATCACATTGTTGCATCCACACGGTTTACCCAAACAGTCCTTACAGTCATCAGCATTTTGCGCTACTCCAACTCCAACGCTCGGGCTTCCGGGCTCCTCCCACCTGGCCCGCCTAGTGGAGTACATTGGTCCATGGTCCAAGCTAGATCCTTCAGGTAACTTGCACCAAAAATAATTGTGATCACATACTCGATTTCTGGCCCATGGCCCGATTACTCATATTTTTTTTTTTGTTGCATTTTTCAGGTGGAATCTGACCTCAAATGCAGCTAGGCCCAACCCGCAAGGCTCGTTCCATTACGGGATGATAAATCTAACGAGGACTTTCGTGCTCGCCAACTCAGCGCCCATTATTAACGGCAAGCAAAGATATGCCGTAAATGACATTTCTTACGTAAACACCGAAACACCCTTGAAGCTCGCAGATTATTACAACATCTCGGGTGTTTTCAGCGTCAACTCCATTCAGAGCATGCCATCTGGCAGCGGCGGGCCCAGGCTCGGGACTTCTGTCTTGGGAGCCTCACTCCATGACTTTGTCGAGATTGTGTTTCAGAACAATGAGGGCACGCTTCAGTCGTGGCATGCCGACGGATATGACTTCTGGGTTGTCGCGTATGTATATATAAGCTTCAAAGTTGTCGTTTTAAAGAAATTATTTGAATCGAACACCATTTTTAAGCATAGTTATTTTTATTTTTTTAGCTTCGGAAAAGGGCAGTGGACTCAAGCGAGCAGGCGGGCTTACAATCTTCGTGATGCTTTGACAAGACACACTATACCGGTAATATAGCAAACTATACATTGGTATTACAGGCTGGGCTAGCAAAATTGGCCCGGCCCATGAGGATGTAATTCGGGCCTGTTCCAAAATGATTCATTCTTGCAGGTATTTCCCAAATCATGGGCTGCAATATTAGTGTCTTTAGACAATCAGGGCATGTGGAATTTGAGGTCAGCAATTTGGGATAGACAATATCTCGGACAACAATTATATGTGAGGGTTTACAATCCGATACAAACCTTCTCAAACGAGTACGCCATACCAGACAATGCACTGCTTTGCGGTAGAGCAGTCGGCCGAAAAACATAATTAATTAATTTAGCTAATAATATATCTATATCACTTAAATGAGTAGTATGTGAGGTGTTTGCATCTATATCTATGGAGAATATTTATTTTGTTGAGTTTTCTGAGTCATGAGAGGTTTCGCTGATATTTACATTTTACACAGGAAAAGATGTTGTCGTTTTACTTGCTTACAAAATTGATTGTACTTTCAAACAATGGTTTATAAGGATTATAAATTTCTGCAGTTAATTTGATATTTGCTTCCATAATCCATTGCTCGAAATGTGATTGAGTTGCATCTTTTGCTGGGTGATCGAAATTTACTAGCTAACAAAACCAGTCTATTGATCATGAATTTGTTGTGAGCTAAAATTCTCTGTTTCGTGATACAACATAGATCCACGAGTTCTCGATAATATGGTTATGTGTGTTGTATTTTGTTTGTGTTTATAGTCTTTTGTTGTGATGTAATGTACATGTACTTGTTAATTAGCTACTGCTCAAATAATTATTATGCAATATTTGTTGGATTAAAATGTTATTTATTTATTTTTTCTCGGTGATATGAAACAATAATATATTATTGCTCAAGTCTCTCAAAATAAATGGAGCAAACTATGTCGGTCATTCAAGAAAGAGTAATTCTATTGGTGCTAATAATTTTCACACTAGAGAGTACATATTCTCATATAAATAAGGGTAGTTTATTTAAGTATTTTATTTGCATGTATTGCAATCAAATACACTCTATTTTACCTAAGATGTTTGGGCCCACCTACCATATCCACTGGTCCATGAAACAGGCTCGGACCATCCGGTGGAACCTGAGACTATCCTTATCAACAACCCAACCCAACCCAACCTAAACAATTAAAAATTATTTCTCACTCATCTACTTACACAACCCAACTTTACAACTCAACTTATCTTTATCCCCAACCCAACCCAACCTAAAATATTTATTTTATTTTTATTTATTTATTTATTAAGTATTATCTACATTTGATTTGTGTTATTATTTTAAGCGTGACAAATTAATTAACAAATTATAAATAAAGTCGTAATTATTTTAAAAAAATTATAATTTAAAATAAAATTGCGAACTCAATTAAAATTTATAATTATAAAATTAGAACAAAAAATAAAATTTGTTAAACAAGTTACAAATAATTTGAATAAAATCACAAATCAATTATCATTACTAAATTAAAATTATGTTACAAAATATATCATATGTGGTCTCTATTTATAGAGAATGAAAAAATACGAATTTTGATATTTTTTATTTTTATTTTTAATATAAATTAACTCTTAAAAATACAAATTACTTTTTATCTTATTAAAAAAATACACTTGTCCAACAAAAGTTGGACAAGTGTCCCAAACTTTTCCCCCAACCGGTTGTGACCTTTGGTCACATTGTGACTTGGGTCATGCCTTTTTGTTGATTTTTCTTTTTTTTTTTTTTAATTTTTCTTTTGTCTTTTCTTGGTGACCCAACCATTGGGTCACCGATAAACAAAGTCTGACGGCCAATGCAGCCCGGCCCAACCTGCAGGGCTCGTTCCACTACGGGTCGGTCCATGTGGTGAGGACTATATTGCTCGAGAATTCGGCCGTGCGGCTCGACGGGAAGAGGAGGTATGCCGTCAACAAGGTGCCGTACGTGAACCCGGACACACCATTGAAGCTAGCCGACTACTTCAATATACCGGGCATTTTCGGGTTGAAGTTGACTAAGGACGGCCTGCCGGCCGGGCCTGTCGTGCTTGGAATTGCGGTTATAGCTGCCACATTGCACGATTTTGTTGAATCGTGTTTCAAAACACCGAGTATGTGTAAAACTGGATCAAACTACAAAATCGAAAAACTGAAACACTGAAATTTTTAAATTGAAATGCACTGCAATACAAGAGAAACCCAAGTAATTGAAATCGAATTTAAAAGTTTTTACACTAAAAAATAACATAATTACGCAGCACCGAATTGCACGATTCTGCTTTTTCTTTTTCTTACGCATTGTGATTTGATTCGTGCAAAAGTTCACCATGGTAAAATTGAAAATCGAACTTGTGAAAAAAAATAACCGAACAACACCAAAATTTACCACACTTAATCAACTAAACTGAACAATACCAAATTGCATATTAGACATAGTTATTTTGTGTTAAGCTCGATTTTGCTCACCCAACTTGGCAAAGTGGAAAACACATGCGAATTTTTATTTAACTTTTTACGTAAATAAATACAGGTTTGGTGGTGGGAAATGGAATCCTAATTCCTACATTGAGGCAGCGATTTTACAATTACAATGATGCCCCCACTAGGAGTATAGTTCAGGTACATAAACTGATTCTCAATATTCTAGTGAAAAATAGTTTTTTTTTTTTTTTCAAATCAATAGAAATTCATACAAAAAACGAAAGAGTACAAGCCGAGAGCTGAGTAGCCCCAAGTTCAGTGCAAACAATTATTCAGAGGAGAGCATCAGTAAGAGAGCTCTATACAACAGCTAATAAACTAACCAATACATCAACTAGAGGCAGATTGATTTCTGAACCCTTTAGAGATAACAATAAGAAACCTGAATACATAGGAGAACAATGCAGATCATAGAGAGAAAAGGACCAGGACTTAAACATGAAAGCAACAGGACCATGCTACAACTGAACCTAAGGACCTTGCAGCATCCTCCCATTTCAAATTGTTGTCCCTGTTCCTTTGCAACGAGAAAACTCTATCCAGTCTCCATAAGTTGCAGAAACAATCAAGTGAGCATGTAACCATTCCTTTTTAAACTTCCTCAAGTTCCTGGATTTCCATAACCACCAAAACAGGTAGGCGATTAGTTCAATCCTGTCCTCAGCAACAATTTTCTCTCCCGCTTCACAAATATCCCACCACCAAGCTTTGAAAGATTTATGAACAGATGGTGGATCATTCCACTGTACAGGGGCAAGCTTCCATACCTGTTGGGCTCTACTGCAGCTAAAAAACATATGCTTCATTGTTTCCACATGTTCACCACAACTATAGTAAATTTCATCAATGATCATGCAACTTTTGATTAGGTTTTCAGCCACTGGTAGTATGTTAGAGTAAGACTTCCACATGAAGTGTTTCAACTTGTTTTTGATTTTTAGGCCGCAACTTTTAAGTCTCACTTTCTTGCCTCTGTTAGCAGAACCACTGCCTTCTGCAATGTCCATGGCTTCCACTCTTTTCTCAATAAGGTAGTTGTAAGAGCAAGCAACTGAGAATTTACCTTTAGAATCCAGAGACCATATCCACCTGTCAGGCAAGAGAGGGTCAAGTGATTTGATATTGAGAATAGCATCCAGAACCTGCCTTGGGAAAATCTCCTCTATAATGGTTCTATTCCATCTTCGGCCTCCCTCATCAACAAGCTCAGAAACCCACTCCATCCCACTGATTACAGGACCCTCTCTCACAATGTACTGCAGGGCCTCTGATGGTAGCCAAGGGTCATGCCAGATACTAGTGTTTCTGCCATTTCTAACTTCAATCTGGAAGAACTACTTGAATTTGGTTCACATATAAACTAGATAAAATACCCACTTACAAGCAATTTTATTCAATCTCCATGATCAATTATTGAAATAAAATTTAATTTAAATTTAAATATGTAACTTTCTAATTGAAATAAAATTTAATTCAACATTAAATATTTTCTTGAAAATAGGTGTATCCTTATTCTTGGAGTGCAATTCTGGTGTCTCTAGACAACAAGGGAATGTGGAATTTGAGGTCTGCAAACTGGCCACGTCGGTACCTTGGCCAAGAGCTGTATGTGAGAGTGTGGAATGACGAATATAGCCTTTACACCGAGTATGATATGCCTTCAAATGTACTGCTTTGTGGCAGGGCCAAGCGCTAATTAATTCCAAATTAATCTTCAATTAATGTCATATTTGATATTTCTCTTCTTTTCAAGTTAGTTTTTCTATCAGTTACGAGGGTGTGACTGAAAACAGAGAGAGAGAGAGAGAGAGAGAGAGAGAGAGAGGGAGAGAGAGAGAGAGGAAAAGCACAAAAATACTGGAAAAATATCATTCAGTAGCGAGAGGAAGAAAAATTGGAGGCAATGTTCCAGTTTTTAGTGTTTTTATTTATGTGTTGTTGTCATTTGTCAATTGTTGATCATAAATAGTAGTTGATTTTATTTTTAATTATCCTTATTTTTCTTTCTAATCCTTTTTCTGCTTGATGATATGTGACAATTTAAACTATATAATTTGAAGAAATGTAACATGTTGCAAATTGTAGTTGTACACCACTGGAGAAGTGCAAAAAATATGTGAAATAAGCAAAAACCATACTTGTGCTTATTGTATTGAAGGAGAACTGAAAAATATTCATTTTATTAGTCTGAACCTAGGCTGTGGTTTAAAAATAGAATAAATGTATAGAAAAAGAAAAGGGAATTTTATTATTATTATTATTATTATTATTATTTGTAGGGCAGGTTTAAGTCTTAGTGGGCTTATAATTCCTCGCTAAGCCCATAGTATATATACATACCAGCGCAGTTTTCTCAAAAAATTGAGGGAAGGGGAAGCGAGGCGAGGGAAAATTCTATTTGGTTCAATCTTTTGTGGGGGGGAAGGGGATTTGATTTTCCTCTCAAATTCATGGCCGAAGGAAAATCTGCTCCCATCCAATTTTGGGAGAATTTGGAGGAGAAGGAAAAGTGTATTATTGATTGGACTTCTATACCCTTCTCAACTAACTATAATTACAAAATTATCTTATATAAATAAAACCAAACCCTCATCCATAAATAAGGGTATATTTGTTTATATAATTTTATTTTCACTCCCCTTACTTTTTAAACCAAACAAGGTTTACCATTTTCCTTCCCCTCCCCTCATATAATATCCCTCAAAACAAGGTAAAATTATTCTNTTTATTTGTTATTTATTTTGTCATTGATTTTTAAATTGCATTATTTTTTAGCTATATCAAATTTATAAATTATTTATGCATGGTTTTTTTTTGAATGTCGTATTTAAAAAAAATATAGTTATTATGTAACTAAAAACACATTACTAATTAATTAGGTTTTTCAGTCTTTTTTTTTTCTTCTAATCAGGTCTTTCAAAAAGACTTAATTAATAGTGAAAGAGTTATTTTTGGCAACAAGTTCAAAAATAATATATTGAAGATATGTTCTTGCAAACACAAGGAATAAAAGGGAAGTACTTTTATTTGTATTCATAATTATACATATATATTTTGAATATTTATATACTTATATATTTAGGAAAGATTTGCATGATCTTATTATGTTATTTATTTGATTTGAAGGATGTCGAACACAATAACTAAAAAAACCAAACTTTCCCCTCTCGCGAAAACCTCCGACAACCTAGCGCCTCTCTCAACTGAATCGAGTCGCCTTCCTCGGTGGCGGTGCGGCGCCGGCCGGTGATCGCGTGCGACCGCCATCCCTCCTTTCTTATCCTGGACCTTTGGTGTTGCCGTGAAGTGCTTGAGCTTGTTGGGCTGCGCAACCCTAGTTCGCCGGTGACTCAGTGATTGGAGAAGAGAGTTCTTGGGTCGTCAATCAGACTGCAATTGGTGCATTCAGGTCTCGATTGGAGGTGAGTTCCCCTACAATTTTTCTCTGTTCCTGTCTCTGTTTATGCGTGCGAATGGAGGGCTTTGGGTGGTCCCTTTTTTTCGGTGAAGCCCCGTTCGAAAAATTTTTTGTTCGGATGCCGGGGAAAGTGGTCTACGGTGATGCTGCCGGGTTTGTGGGTTGTGAGGCGGGATGGGGCTCTGATTGTGTGTCGGGGCTGAGGGCTCGTAAACCACCCAGCCCCCTCTTCCGGCTAGTGGTGTTAGACGGCGGGGTTCTGGTGTTCTTTAGTTCGGCTAGTGGTGTTAGGCAGGCTTGGGCTGTGCCAGAGTGGGTGCGGGTTTGCATGTTCCTTCGGTTGAGGCGGGTTGTTTCGGAGTTTGGTTTGTGTTCGGGTTCGACTTCTTGTATAGGCCTTGTGGCAGTTTCGGGAGCTGTCCCCTGAACTTGGACTAATCTTTGATATCGACTGTTCTCCACTGGTTAGGGCTGGCTGATTTGCTGTGGAAGGGCCTTCTGTGTTTTTTATTTGTTTTGTTATGTGGTACGTTTGTGTTTTGGTTTGGGCGTTTTGCCCGTGTGTCTATGTCATGTGTTTTTTTGTTTGAGCCGTTCGCCCCTGTGTGCCCGAGTGTCAACTTATTATCCTGTTGGAATCAGACACTCGGGTATTATCCCGTTGGGATCTTTTAGTAGTTTTTGTTGTAGTTTATGTTGTTGTTTAGTGTAGTTGCGAGGCTCTTATTCAAACTTTGTTAGAACAGGCTCTAGGCGATCTTTGAGATCTACCTCCCAGTTTTATCAGTCTTTGGTTGTACTATTCAGCCTTTGGCTGCTTTTTTCGTACTTTGTGCGGTTTATTTATATAATACATCTATCATTTTGGAAAAAAAAAAGGATGTCGAACGTGCATAGAGATCAAGGCAAGAAAAAGAAAGAAGATATTCACTTTCCATGTTTTTTCCATTATATTTGGAAAGAAGATCAAGAGAAAAGGGAATTACTTGGGAAGAACTCCACGCCTAAGGATGCTATATAAACCCTACTTGAAGATCAATTGAAGGTTGCTGAAATTCTCATTACTCGTAGCATTCAAGCTTCAATTGATAATTCAAGCTTTTCTTTATTTTGTTTTTTAGTTTGCAGTTCAGTGTTTTAATGTTCTTACATCATCTGAACACTAAAGCTGTTTTGAGTTAGTTTTGGTTATTTTATTCGAACATTTTTGTGATTAGTACTAAGGGATTTAGCACTGAGTTTTATCGAGGGATCGAGAGTATTTAAGTCCACGGAAAGTGGCCAGAGAAGTAGTTGATAAATTTGAGTGTAGTTGTGGTTAGACTAGAAGGGAGTTCAATCTTATAAGTCCAAATTACACAAGTGTGCACAATCAAGTTATCAATGAAAGAGTTTTGAGGGCTAGTGGGACGCTCCCCGAAGAGTTTTCATATATTGTTGTGCTTCCGCTATTTCAACTTTTCTGTATTACAACATAAATTATTACGATCCCTGTTCTAACACAAGTTGAACGCCTTAAACTCTAAACATATATTTTTGAAATAGGATTTGAATAATTGGAGTGTGACATTTTGAAAATTTAAGGAGCCCCAAGTATTCCATTAAAATTTTGAATAAAATTTAAAAACTTCAAATACCTCAAAATGGAGTTTTCTATAGTTTGGAAAAAGAAAAAAGAAAAAAACCTCAAAATGAAAATTTTCATTTGAGATTACTAGGTATTTCTAGTTATCTCCTTTTGACTTGTTATCTACTCTAGGCGCTTCAGGCTTTGAAAGATAAATATATATATGCAAAATTCGTTTATCGGAAAAATTCACAAGACAAATTGTTAGAATATTACTTGTGAGTTGTCCCATATCGTTGGCGTGTTAGATTATCACTTGTAAATTGTCTCACATCGTTTATACATGGAAATATATCCACCTTATCAGTCTAATGGGCTACTTCTCCTTCCACCAATTAGTTTTGGGATGGAACTCCACTTGGACTTCATCTGGGCTTTCCCTGTTATGGTGCGCTTCACGTACGTGGGACCGCATCCGTTTTCTCCCCGTTTCTTACATGGTATCAGAGTCGGTTCTACGTGGGACCGTGCGATGACGTACCCATTTTTCTCCACGTACCCGTTTATGGAAGTCTATTTCTAGTAGGGCTTGGGCCTACGTACCCGTTTATGGGAGCCTGTTTCTAGTAGGGCTTGGGGCACCCAGCTCTGTATATATATGGGTTTGGGCTTCTTATTAAGAACTCACAAGTGAGGGGGGGTGTTAGAAACTCACTTGTGAGAGGGCGTGTTAGAATATCACTTGTGAGTTGTCTCACATCGTTTATACATAGAAAATAGGCTCACCTTATAAGTCTAATGGTTACTCCTCCTTCCACCAATTGGTTTTGGGATGGAACCCTACTTGGACTTCATCTGGGCTTTCCCTGTTATGGTGCGCTTCACGTGCGTGGGACCGCACCCGTTTTCCCCCGTTTCTTACACAAATCACAAATGTCTCGAAAAATATCAGATTTTCCTAACATAAATATTACTCCCTCCTATTTTTTTTAAATGTCATTTTGGTTTTATCAACAATTAACCAAATAAATGACGTTTTGGAACTTTTGTACATATTTTTCCATGATTACCCTCTCCAACTAATAAATACACTATATCTTTTCATATTCACTATTTATCTTTTCTCAAAACATTAATCTCTATCCTCATTAATGAGGGTTATTATTGACCAAAAAAAAAATTTTAATTACTGTGCAACTTCTCAAAACGATACTTATTAAAGATAGGATGGAGTATATGTTTCTAATTAGACTAAAGGGATAATAACTATTTAATAAATTGAAAGTTACTGATATTTTGTTTCTTGCCACATCTTTTAGCTTCGAAGGATATAAGAATAATTTCATTTTTGTCTCCTGAAAACAATTTTTTTTAACAAAATTACTAATATTTATTTCATCTCATATTTTCTTTACAATCCCACTAACATAATAGAAACTAAAAGATCATCCTCATCATCATCATCATTCTTATTATTATTTTCTTGAAATACTATTTGTTGATTCACATATTTCTATCTATCAATCTTTTTTTTTGTACGTTTATATTTAAAACCTATCTAACATTATAATCTTTTTTTTTCACTTTTCTATCTCATATTTGAATGAAACTTTTTAATTTTTTTGAAAAATATTAAACTCCATCACTTGGGCTACAAGCAAGGTTATCAAAATCGCGACTTTGAATCGTAGAATCGCCGATTCTACGACTCAAAGTTACAAAATCGATTCTAAGTCGCTCAAAATCGCAAAGAAATGTGAAGTCGCTGCAGAATCAGTAGAATCGGTCAAAGTCGTAGAATCGGACTGATTCTACGACTTTGACCAATACTGTGCAAAACTCAAAAAATGAACCAGATTTTAAAATTAGGTTGCATTTGGGCACTTGGACTGTTTCTTTTGATTTTATTTTTACACAAATTAGCCCAAAGAAGCATATAAATATTCCCTTCCCTTGGCCCAATTGAAAACAAATTAATTAAAAAAAATTTAAAAAATACCCAACAAATCCTAAAATCCCTAATGTGACTTCATTTTCCCCTCATCCTAATTTCCTCTACTTTTCCGTCGCGAATCGCGACTTCTTCATCTCCATCCCTCGCCGACCGACCGTCGTACTCTGACGTTAAACTCAAATCCATCTCTCTCTCACTTTTTCTTCGGCCTCCAATCCTCCACAGTCCACAGTTTACACGGTTGTAGCCTCCGAAAGCCTGAACTTCGACGTTAAAATGGCTCGGCCTCGACGCCTGCGTCTTCTTCGTCGGAGCAGTCTTCTCAGCAATTAAGCTTCATTGCTTTGTTGTTCTCCCATTTAGAGGTAACCATTTATCCCTACTTATCTCCCAACACTTTTATTTTTATCATTGTTGGAATAGGGGAAGTTCACAGAATCACAGTTTTAGGAATTAGGAAGATTGAATTTTTGGTTGACGCCTTGATGGCCGTGACTTTGGTTCTGACGTTAAAATGGTATTCATTTTGTTCCTTGTTTTTCCTGTGATGCATATTCCTAAAGTCAGTAAGCTATGTTTTATTTTTGGTGATCAGTTTTTTGCCCTTTTTTGGTTCTGACTTTGGAGTATGGAATTATGCACATTCAAACCGATTCAATCGGAACACCTCAAATAGGTCTAAACATTTATATTTTGAAAAATAAGTGGTGATTTTTTTTAGCATTTTGATGCATATTCTTGATGATTACTATAAAACTTGTTAAAATAATTAATTTTAGACGTTTTGAGTAAAGTCTTACGATTTTACGATTCCGATTCCGCACCCAAAACGATTCTACTTAGAATCTTAATTTAAAAAACCTTGGCTACAAGCTCCAAATTATGGTAAAAGAAAAGATAAAAAATAATTAATTATCATTGAAAGTTGCAAACCTATAAGCCATATGAAGGAATTGCCAATCTTATTTCTTTATCACATTTCCAGTGCTGCTTTGTGCTTACATATGTAAATTTTCAGTTCTCAGGGAATCTCTAGTTGCGTACATAATTAATTCTATATACTGTCATAATTCTGAAGAGCAGTTGATGGAGGTCAAATTTTATTACCAATCTTTCTGTTTTTTTCAGATATAATCGAATCCTTCCAACTGTGAGAATCAATTGCAGATAACAAGAAATTCTTCCAAATACGCTGCTTTAGGCCGCATTTCTAGAAAAATCTTAAAAGTTTATTTCTGTTAATTTTCTTTTACCTCAAATAGTTACATGAATGAAATGTCTATAATATAAGCCCGCGTTATAATTAATTACCTCTATAATAATTTTTCTTAGTTCTTATTTATTTATTTATGGATGTCTTACAATGAGTAATTATCAACTATTATATAATTTTCAAAAATTGTAAATTTAATTCATTGTTACTTTTTCTTCCTTGATCAGACTAGCTACTTCATTTTTTCTTCGGAAGTTAATTATGGATAATTATAATTAGATATTTTAATCAATACGATTCTTATCTCATATTTGATGCAATTTCAACTTTTTTGTTTTTGTGTCCAGTGGAAAGCATGAAAAGTTCAAATTAAACTCTTCCATCATCCTTTTATAATTATGTTTATTCTATATGAATTAATTAATGTATAACATGACTACATACATAATGGAATTAAGTCAAATGGAATCTCTAATGTCTTTGTTCACGAGCACGCTTGCCTCACAATGTGTCCACAAACCCAATTAGTTCATTGCATTTTATTTTTATTTATTTATTTTTTTTTTTTTAGGGTGGGGGTTAGTTCATTGCATCTTCAAGCGAATCAAATACAAAGGTCTTTAAGAATTATTTCAGTCAATCCGTTTTCAAACAAAACAAATAAAAATAATCACACCATTAAGATATATATGGTCCACATTTTCTTGGCTATAAGTGATATAACCTTCCATCTTAATTTAAGAAAAAATAGCTTAAATGTGATGAAGCACTGATATGGTTACACGTGTTACAATACAGTATGAGAGCCATAAAATATTATATTTTAAAATTTTAATATTATAATCACATTTTATATATGTTTGTATTATAATATTTAAAAAAAAAAATTCGTTCAAATGCACTAGACTATTATATTAACGATAACAAGAACCGTTATAAATAGGAATAACATGTACAAATCAATAATGGAAATATTTTGTATTTTTAAATCAAACAACTCGTAGACTATATTGACATCTATTTATAGAGAAATTGAATGAATTGTAAGATAATACCTAATTCCAGTTTTCACCAAAATGGTTGCTTTCTACAAGAACTATTAAGTCTTGAATCAATCAAATATTAATTAATTAATGTTCAAACTCATTGTTAAATAAATTTAGACAGGAAAATCCAAAATTCATCCCACCATACAATTATTTAGTTACTGTTCATATATGTGCCATATCATGAATAACTAGTTATAATAATATTTAACTATTTGCTTGTATATCTGTTTGCTTTATGATCATCTCCATCCAAAAATCAAAATATAACGTGTCACGTGTACTCACACAAACACAATTAGAACCAACATCTATACTTATATTAAAAGGTATACCATTTATCAGATTTAGTATAAAGAAAAGTCAACAACATTTATTACATTACTATTTCCGTATTATACAATCTATCTATATTTATATAAAAGGAGATTCTATTTACTACATTTACTATTCAGAAAAGTCAACTGCATTATGCCATTACTATTTTGTTATTATAATATTTTATTTATTTAATTGATTTATTTATTTGTTTTATTTTAAAAAGATAAGTATAATAAAAAGATTTTAATAATAAAAAAATAAAATACCAAATAAAAATGTACACTTTGACTTATTTGATTATATTTGGTATTTGATTATACCAAATATATTCCTATTTAGTATATACATTAAATACTTACTAAAGTATTTATTTGTTTTATTTGTCAAAGTTAAGTATAAATTTGTTTATATTATCAAATCATAAAAAAATATTAAAACTATATTGTAAAAAAAAATCATATAATTTTATAACAATTCTACTACACTATTTAACAATATTTTTTTATTTAATAATAAAATAATAATTAAATATTATATGGTGAACAACAATAAGTAAAACTGTTACTTTTTCTTATATCAAAGGATAAATTTATATGCTAAAATTAAATTTTTATTAGTATAAGTGTTTTAGTGAGATAATATATTAATTATTTTACAAGCTAGCCCTAACATGCTCATTTTTAATGTTTTAAAAGATGTAGAAAAAAAACTTATAATAACTCTATTGTTTTTTAGACTTAAACGTTGATTAAAAGAGGTAAATATTCCTAATTTTTTAGACTTAAACGTTGATTAACACCATAGATTGAGAGTTTATATTTAGTAAGTCCTAATTGTAATAAAAAAATTAATTTTTGCTTTATTTTAGAATATCTTTAAATTCATTATAAAAAAAGAAAAAAAAAACTACAATGAAAAAAGCAAGTCAGCTATATATCGATTTGTTGTACTCCTCAAATCACATTCACAACAAGGAAAGGAAACTCATTGATTAAAATATTATTTTGTCAGTAGTCTTAATGTACAAGAGACTTTAAGACTCCACTTGAATATTATAAAACTTTTATTGAACATTATACTTAATGTACAAGAGACTTTAAGACTCCACTTGAATATTATAAAACTTTTATTGAACATTGTACAATTTTCTTGCGTATTATAAACTTTTATTGAATATGGCATCTTATAATATAATATTCTCCAAATAAATATATCTCGTGCTTTGCACGGGTCACGTACATTTTTATTTATTCATGTATATAATTATAAGCCTGGATAAATAGTCTTAAAATTGTGCATCGCACGGACTCTGTACTAGTGATCAATTAAATAAATAGAAAAATAAAAGGATAAATTAATATTTTTCTGAGAAAAAAAAAACATGATCAATCTAGACCCATATTGATATACCACAATCCCAATTCACCAATGACATGGAAAAAAAAACAAAAACAAATAAACATGAAACCCTAAAATTACGAACAAACTGAAAAACTAAAATATTGATGATAAAACACAATACATCACAAATTATTCAAACCCAAGACTCCTCCAAATATCGTAGCTACTGATATGCACCGTTTGTGGTGGTCGGCAAATCGGCCGGCCACGAAAGACCTGTGTTCCAAAACCCTAATTCTCCGGCCGTCCCCACCGGAGCCGACTCCAAAATTCCCGAGTTAGCCGCCGATGAATTTGCCGAACCCATATTTGCAAGTACCAACGGCGCACCTTCATTGTAGTAGCAGCTCGCCGGTGGAGATCTCAGCCGTTGGTACAACTCGTGAAGCCCGTTGTTGTTCTGAGATTCTCCGTGACCGTGAAACGGGCCCGGGAGGCCCGAAGAAGACGGTAAACGGGCTTGGTCGAACCCAAACAGGAAATTACCGTTATACCCTTCATCCTTCATGGATATAGGATTTTCGATATTGTTCGGGTAAGTGTTAGGGTTTTGATTGGCCCTGAGCAAGGAGAGGAAGTTGTAGTTGGTTTGGGGCGGGGCGGCCCACAACAGGGTCGGGTCGGGCGGGCCGTGGTCGAACCCGGAAAAAAGGCCCATCTTGATGAAGTCGGAGGGGGCGGAGGCCTTGGGCCGGCCTGAGGGGGACCTTCCGGCGGAGGAGGAGGCGGAGCGGTTTTTCCGGCAGCCGCCGCCGATGGGGACGTTGCGGAGGGCGCCGCCCTTGGTCCAGTAGCGGCGGCAGGTCTTGCAGAAGTGGCGGGGCTGGGTNAAGAGGGAAAAGATTGGATTTTCGGTCTTTTTGTGATTTGAATTTTGGTGGTGAGAAAGGTGGGATTTGAGAAAGTTTTTGTTGTTTTGAGTTTCGAATGGGTTTGTGATTTGTTGAGGGGAAGAATGTTTATGGGGTAGAGCAAAAGGAGATTTGGAGGAAGGGGGGAGTGAGTTTAATATACTACAAATGATGGGGCATACCCAATTTGTCTTCTACCCAAGATAAAATGGTTAATATTTGGAATTTTTTTTTTTTTTTAGTCAAAAGATATAATTATTTATCATTTTCTTTATGTAGAAATAAGTGTATATTTTATAGGTGAATTTCAGGTTTATTGTGAATTCTAATGGCAAAGTCGATGCTGTACACACACCTACATAGATGTGTGTGAAATCAATGGCCAAAACACTAAGGGGGCAGTGTCCTTAGAGGTAGCATGAAATTTCCCGAGTTCTAATCAACATAGGCTTCCTTTGCTCTTTCGATACGTGCTCGCGCCGATACAGGTGTGTGTATGTGATTCGACAATTAGAACTTCCGTGGACTAACTGGCTAAGATCAAATTTTCCTAGAGCAATTGTATGTTTTCTATTTCTTTCAGTTTCAGTTAATTATTAGAAAAGTGCGATGCATACGTACCTCGTGAGGATAAAATTAGTACTATTGAACTAATTATTATACGAATGATATGAACTATATAAAATTAGTGCTAAGATTAGACAGTACTATTTGTACTTATTTGAATACCTTCTTTTCAATATTTAAGTTAAATCTTAACATTCAAATTAAGTAGAGAATATAAAGGAATTTATGATGTTACTGTATTTATTTGTACTATTAAATAACATTATAAGATAGATGAATTTAAGCTCTTCCTTTGCCCTTATTTAATTTTGATAGTGAATCTTAAATATTAGCTTCACACCAATGACAACTATATTACACTCTTTTTAAGAATTAACCAGGACATCTTGGTCAAATGGAGGGTCATTAAAATGAGCATGTGCAATACGAATTTGAAATGGATCCCACATGAAAATGATGTTCTTTTTCTTTGATGATCATGTTGGTCATTATTAGTTTTACTTTAATTGGCTTTTATTTTTATGCCTCAATTGTCATTCTTATGATTTTTATTTTTTCTTTTAGTAATCCTGGTTCAAATTTACTTTTGGACTTTGGAAGAATGTTAATTATAGGTTATGTTGAATTATATTATTATTGAGTTGGTTGTCGGCAGATTGGATAATTAATTTGCTCCATCATCCAGATTGAATTTTGAATTGATTCATAGTGAACACAAAATGTTTAAACTATCTTATTGTACCACTTACTAATAGCTATAATATGGAATACCAGTTGTTTTTCTTTCAAGTACCATTTTGGTTAAAATACAAAACAAAATCAAATTTTATATTTGTATTCTTGAATAATGTATTTTATAAATTTAAAGTTACAAACTTATTGTTAATATATTATATTCTAACTGAATATAATTGGATCGTGTACCACACAGATTATCCAATATTTTAACTACATGAAAAAATATATTTTCTCTCCCTACAAAATTTACATTATATTTTCTGTTTTGCTCCAAATATTATTTTATAGAATGAAAAATAGTAGCAATGGAAGAAGTGTGTATAATTTAATTTAATTTTATTTATTAATATTTGTGTCTATTTGGATAAAAATGATTGCTAAGTCAAGAAAGGGCTAGTGGGGGTGTAATTGCACTAGCCCGAAAGTTATGGCTTCAATTGAGGTTAAAACAAAATGTACACAAATCAAATGGGCACACGACCGAGACAGAAATAATGATTACCAATTATTATTTCAACTATTTTGACACAACACGAGCGGGGGATTTTTCGTTTTCCTGTTCAGTAATTATGCTCCTGATCGAGTGTCGTTATAAGTATATATCCTTTTTCTTTTTTCATTCATTTTATTTATTATCTTGAAAGAATTATTTTGTGCGTTGCTTGAATCAATCTTTGATTCATGATGATGGTGGTTTTGAATAAAGCGCTACTTTTATTTATATTTTTTTGTATATTAATTGGAATAGTGGCATTTCATAGGGTAAATTTTTATGATTATGCATTTTACCTAGCTACCATACTCTAGACATTTGGGGATTGATGATATAAAATATGCATCGTTCCATCTTGATGTGCTTTCGCACCTCGAACCTTCCTTCCATTGATAATCAATCGCTTGCTCGTCAGAGACCTACAAAAATGTCAGGAGGTGCTCCCTGCGTTAAACCTCCGAAGCTCTAGTCAATAAAGGGTTATGGAAAGTTGTATGTAACTATATGTAGTGTTTATGGTCTAGAATGTGACTAACCTTTACCTTCTTCCCCAATTTACCTATTTATATGGAATTATTAGCTTCCTCAGTACGCTTTGTTGTTCCTCCGTCAGATCATTTATTCCTTCTCAATCCTGGCTCTACACGTGTCCTCTGTGTTAGAAGAATTCATGGTCTTCGATACCTTAGCAATGACAAGGAAAAAGAGGCTGCTCACATGGAAAGTAGACATGCATACATGGAGAAGAAGAAAACCGGTCCATGCAGTACACTTAACCCTAAATCCTGTGAATGAATATGGTCCACACACGTGTCCACCAATCTCTATGATATGCGCAACTTTAGCACCAATATAAGAGGCAATATTCTCTGCCTTGAAGCAATAGAACAGTTCATAATACATGTATAAGGAAAAGTGACAGTATGAAGCAATTAAAGAGAGCACATGTTTTTTTGATTTTGGTTTCCTGCATTCATGGCTTTTTCTTCTATCTTATTGTCTTTTATTTGGTTTTCCTTTCTGGTATCAGAGCTTAGTGTAACGCCCCACGACGGCCCGAGCAGCCCCGCGCGCACGCAGGCAGGACACGCGCACGCACCACACGCGCACGCACGGGGCCAACTCGTGCTTTTGACGACTTAAGGCGCCCCATGCCTAAGTCTTGTATATAGAAGGGGCTAGTTTTGTCTAGGAGCTTCTAGAAGGCCCTAGAATTATGTAGATAAATGTAGTAGGGACATGAAGGTCCTAGAACCATTTAGAGGCTTGTAGATAGGGCATGAAGTATGTAGAAGGTTCTAGGACTTGTCCGTCAAAGGCACCGTCAATGATGGGCTCGATGCACAATGCTCCACAGAGAACCGCTTGGATCACTTGGAGGAGTTCAAGGGTCAAATGGAGGACCTCGTGAAGGGCCTCCTAACAAGCATCGAGGGGATGCGCAAGGACATCGAGGACATGCACAAGGACATCGGCGTTTGTAAGAAGGCAATTGCTAGTGGGGAAACCAACAGCACCATGCCAGCACCAAGGGTGGAGTGCCCGAAGCCAACAAGCTATAATGGTGCAAGGGACGCCAAAGAAGTTGAGAACTTCTTGTGGAGGATGCAACAATACTTTGAGGGCATAAATATAACGAGGCAACCAAGGTAAAGACTGCTTCCCTTTACCTTTCTGATACTGCTATGTTATGGTGGCGCAGGAAACATGGCGACATTGAGCGAGGCACATGCCGGATAGACATTTGGGACGACTTTGTCAAAGAACTCAAGCGACAATTCTATCCGGAGAACGTAGTATACGAGGCGCGACGCAAGTTAAGGGAATTGAAGCAAAAAGGATCCATAAGAGACTATGTCAAAGAATTCACCACCCTCTTGCTTCAGATCCCCAACATGACTGAGGATGACTCGCTCTTTTTCTTCGTGGACGGACTCCAACACTGGGCAAAACAAGAGCTACAACGCCGGGGTGTCAAGACCGTCGATGACGCAATTGCCGCCATCAAATCCCTCACCGAATTTCTCCCATAATCGTCATCTTCCGATGCCACTAAGAAGGACAAGAAGTACCCAACTAAAGGTGGGGGAGACAAAAGGGACAATAAGAGTCGAGACCCCCGAGACCAGCGACGAGCGCCGGCTGAGGAGGATCGGAACGCGGGACGCCGTAGCTACGAGGAAAAGAAGGAAGCATTCGTCCCAAAAGGAGGCTGCTTCGTGTGCAAAGGACCGCATGCCATGAAGAACTGCCCGAAACTTGGCTCCCTCTCAGCCATCATGGAGCAGCACGAGTCAGAGAACAAAGAGGAAGCACCCTCAATGATGGGATCACTACAAGTCCTCAATGCCCTCGAGGCCAAGCCCGAGTGCACCACGAATAGCAAAGGGCTCATGTACGTGGAAGCACACATTAACGGGACGCCAACTAAGGCCCTGGTGGACACAGGGGCCAGCCACAATTTTATTACCAAGGAGGAGGCTATAAGGTTGGGACTATCGTGGACCGAAGAAGCCGGATGGCTAAAGACGGTCAATGCCAATGCTCGTAGACTTGAGGGAACCGCGAGCAACGTGCGTCTACGCTTAGGGACATGGCAAGGACGCGCGCACTTTTCCATGCCTCTATGGACGACTTCAAGGTGGTACTTGGCATGGATTTCCTGCGACAGGTAACAACGATCCATATGCCTTCCTTTAGCACCGTTTGCATCTTAGAGAAGGGATCCCCTTGCATGGTTCCGACTATCAAGGGAGACAGCGGGATTGCCAGCAAGCAACGCTCCGCAATGCAGCTTGCCAAGGGGGCAAGGCGGGGTGAACTGACATACTTGACAGTGCTATAGGAGGACAAGTGCGAGGAGAATTCCCCGAAGGTACCACCCATCATTCGAGAAGTCCTTAAGGAGAATAAGGACGTCATGCCGATGGAACTTCCGAACAAGCTACCACCCAGGCGAGGGGTAGATCACAAGATCGAGTTAGAGCCCGACACCAAGCTGCCTGCCATGGCCCCGTACCGGATGTGCCACCTGAGCTTGAGGAATTGAGGAAGCAACTTAAGGAGCTCGTGGAGACAGGGAAAATCCGACCGAGCAAGGCACCTTATGACGCACCCGTACTCTTTCAAAGGAAGCATGATGGGACGCTACGCATGTGCGTAGACTGTCGGGCTCTAAACAAGGTGACAATCAAGAATCGCTATCCCATCTCTTTGATTGCCGACTTGTTCGATCGACTTGAGGGAGCCCGAGTGTACACCAAGATGGATTTACAGAAGGGTTACTACCAAGTCCGCATTGCCGAAGGAGACGAACCCAAGACTACGTGCATCACGCGGTATGGGTCGTAAGAGTGGTTAGTAATGCCCTATGGACTCACGAATGCCCCAGCTACATTCTGTACGCTCATGAACGAGATCTTTCACCCATACTTGGATCGGTTCGTGGTGGTCTACTTAGACGATATTGTCATATATAGCAATTCACTCGAGGAGCACGCTGATCATCTACGCACCGTGTTCAAGGTACTCCGGGACAATGAGCTTTACGTCAAGGATCCAAGTGCATTTTCGCCCAAGAGGAAGTAAGCTTCTTGGGACATATCATTGGCCACGGACGAATCAAGATGGACGAGGCAAAGGTGAAGGCGATCATGGAATGGGAAGCGCCAACCAAGGTAACTGAATTACGTTCCTTCTTGGGTTTAGTTAACTATTATCGCCGTTTCATACAGGGTTACTCGGCGAGGGCAGCACCTCTTACCGACCTACTCAAGAAGGAGAAGCCGTGGGTATGGACCAACGAGTGCGAACGAGCTTTCGAAGATCTCAAGGCCGCGGTGAGCTAGGAGCCTATCCTAGCATTACCTGACTTCACCAAGCCCTTTGAGGTCCACACAGACGCCTCAGACTTTGCTATTGGGGGAGTACTGATGCAAGATCGGCACCCTAGAGCGTTCGAGAGCTGAAAGTTGAATGAAACCGAGCGACGCTACACGGTGCAAGAGAAGAAGATGACGGCCATCATCCACTGCTTGAGGGTGTGGCGCCACTACTTGCTAGGGGCACATTTCAGCATCAAGACGGGTAACGTTGCCACTAGCTACTTCCAGACCCAAAAGAAGCTCTCCCCAAAGCAAGCCCGATGGCAAGATTTCTTAGCCGAGTTCGACTACTCGTTGGAGTACAAGCCGGGGAAGGCAAACGTAGTGGCCGATG